TGCACAAAAAGGGCAGGAAGTGACATTAATCGCATTCGTTTCTGGCGTTGAATTCTCCAGGAGGAGCTGAAGAGGGATCTGCTGCGGATGAGGAGGGAGAAGGAAAGGGCTCAAGCTGCAGCCCAACAGGCAGCCCAGGCTGCCGCTGCCGCCGCCGCCTCCCACAACCAGCAACAGCAAAATCTGTCCCACATCACCTCTCAGCATCACCTTAGCACGACTGTCAGCTCCGCACACAAGAGGAAACGGGAAGAGGAGAGGGAGATGACAACGTCAGCCAAGTCCAAGAAGAAGAAAATGATCTCTACGACGAGTACAAAAGAGAGCAAGAAGGACACAAAGCTCTACTGCATCTGCAAGACGCCCTACGATGAGACCAAGTATGATGATGCTCTGTTAAACACTGTCAAAATAAAAATACTGTATGAGCGAGTTTAGCTGCATTGGTGACAGCACTGAGCTGAATAAAAAGAAAAAAGACTGGAGACGTGCAGCTGTCCACATTAAAACATTTACAGTTTATTGGAGATTTTACTGCCCTGATATCAGAGGTCAAAGAATAGACGATGTTCTCACTCTCAGCCAGTTACTCTTTTTAAATGTACTCTTATTTTCAGGGTTTTACTCAGTATTGCTCTATTCATCAAGTCCTCATTGAATTAAATCTGTCTTCTATTGCAGAACAAATCCTTCCAATCTCATATGTTTATTTTTAAAACTAAAATTGATTGTATTTATTGACTTACTGTAAACCGGCGACTGTCTACAGTGACACCTGTGTGTCCTCGTTCTCTCTAAAGGTTCTACATTGGCTGCGATCTGTGTACCAACTGGTATCACGGAGAATGTGTGGGCATCACAGAAAAGGAGGCCAAGAAAATGGACGACTACATCTGTGTGGAGTGTAAGCGGGGCCAGGAGAGCAGCACAGAGGAGCTGTACTGCATCTGTCAGACACCATATGACGAGTCACAGTAAGGAGCAAGTTTTTAATTGTTTTAAATTCAGCTTAATGGAGTGTGTGAGAATTTCAGACACAGTTGCTATTTTTGCTTCTTTTGCAATTTCCTTAAACTCATCTTGGTTCATTCATTTTTACCGTAGCGTTTATTTTGAACTGATGAAAATGTGTCTTCTTTAGTATATTTATGTTTTACTTTTTTTCCCTATAGATACCAGCTCTAATGTTTGAAGGTCGAAAGTAGCAAACCAGTTATGTCTGTGTAGGTTCTCAGTCATCAAGGACTTCTTAAATTTCTTTCTAAGCTCCTTAAATCTAGTTATATCAAAATCTGTATTATGCTATGGTTGCACTAATAAAAACAGTGATTTGAGACACAACAAACACAACAACATCTGGTTTGCCTTTGAAATGGTTACTTGGAAGATGGGGAGGGAGTCTGTGATGACTCACGGTGACTTTGGTGCATCAAGACAGCAATAAAATAGAGTCAGTCTGATATCAGTTTACAGTTAATTGGGGTCAAGTTGGCAATTACGTGCAATCTGTTTGGAATACACAAACAAAATCTCAAATCTGTTTCCGTCTACCTTGACAGAAATCCATATTAACTACATACATTCAGAATCCAGCAGCTTGAAACAGAAATTCCTCCACAAATAGTTGCGTCAGGACAGATTTAGTTGCGTAATGCAATAGGTGCTCAGCAACTTCAATTTTACTTTAACCAGTTAACCAGTTGGCAACCCCTTGAGTCAAGTCCGCTATTGCAAAGAGATGTGTTGCAGATGAGTTGCACTGGTTCGCATAAACTGCCTCAGAATGTTTGCAGTGTGTTGGCAATCTGAGTTTATACATTAGACAGCAACTAATTCCAAACCTTTGCCAGTCAGTCTGAGTCTGACCTGCAACTGTTTGGAGACAGGTTGCCTTCTACCAGGTGGCCTGTGATCAAAAGCAGTCAATAAGAGTTTGAATGTGCAGCACCTGGAACCCTTTGGATGACCAGTTGGTTGCTGCAGCTGTTTTCAATGGATAAAGTTTATTCATTTGCAAAAAAAAAAAAGAATAATTTTTACCAACTGTTATTACGTGTCACCTTGTTATTTCATTCGGTAAATAAGACTTTCTTAATAAGTAGTTTAAAATATTAAGCATAGACATG